CAGGCTTTGCTATAAAACTTAAATTCTCACATGTGGAGTTTCCTTAGGGGAAAATCATTATTTTTAAACCACTTGGGGATTCTGAGTGACAAAGCTTAACCAAGGGCAGTGGATTGGCTGGAACGCATCCCAGAAGTGTGTATATTTCTTGCATGATACACACTATGGAGACTGTTAAATGCCTTTGGACTTAGTTCAGTGAATCCAACTACTACTTTTTGAAAGTAGGAGAATTTTGTGGTTAGATGCCCCTACTTCGTAGGATTCTCGGGAGTTTAAAATGAGATAATATAAGTAAAGGCTTTTTGTCAACCATAAAACATTATACAAATGTAAGACATCATTGTCATTATTTTCTTGCTGCCGAGAAGGCAGATGGGACCAAACTCCCAGGAGACACAGTCTCTTACGTTGTATTTTGTAGTGTGTGTACTACATACTGAATTAGATTTTCGTGAAGGAGCACCATCATTTCAATATTCTTAATAATATTTAAGTATAACTTTTGCACATCCCAGGACCACCATGTTGCACAACTCCAGGGACACCATTCCATTGTAGTGGCTCTGATTCATCCAGTAGCATTCCTTCCCTCAGAGCTGGACTATGACACGTATGCTGCAAGAGTGTCATCAACCCAGCTGACATGGTTAACTCTGAAATTTATAATCCTATCTTCTTTCACCCTGTCTAGCTTCTTTATTTTATAAGCATCAACTCAAATGCTACTTATTTTGGTAAATTTTCAACAAGTTAGTTCTTTCCACTTCACTGTGTTTTCAGACACAAGGTATATGTTCCTTCTTTATTGAATGAAAATGGAGAGAAGCAAAGAGAGGCTCTGAACACTTACCACTTTCAAACTGTTACAGAGGAAGGGCAGAGTCTATGTCAGGGGCCAGCATATTTTTTTCTATTAAGGGCCAGACTGTAAATATTTTCAGCTGATAGGCCATAAAGTCCTTCTTCCAGTTACTCAACTCTGCTGTTGAAACGTGAAAGCAGCCATAGACAATATATAAATGAGCAAGAGTGGCTTTGTTCAAATAAAACTATTTGGACACTAAATTTTGGATTTCATATAATTTTCATATGTCACAAAATACCATTCATTTGATTTTTTCCCCTGTTATTTAAATATATAAAATCCATTCTTAGCTCATGGGCCATGCAAAAATAGAGTGGACTGTGGTTCCTAACTCCTGGACTGTGCCGTTCTCACTGTTGATGATTGTGAGTAGCTAGGCACAAAAAAAGACCTATTGCTGTTAAGTTGATTCCAACTTATAGCTACTTCATGTGTTACACAGTTCTACTGCTTCATAGGGTTTTCTTGGCTATAATCTTTATGGAAGCAGATTGCCAGGCCTTTCTTCTGTAGCACTCCTGGGTGGTTAGTAGTACCCAGTCACTACCCAGGGACCTTAAGCTGTGCACAGGTGGCTACTTAATAAATGCTTGCCCAGATAAGGAGAGAGTGACACTCCCTAGTCACTTAACCTGTGGACTAGGAATCTGAAATCCTAGTTCAACCCCTGCCCTGATGCTTTCTAGCTGTGACTTTGGGCTAGTCACATGATATCAGTCTCAGGCTGCTTATTTATAAAATAGGGATAAAAACTCTTGTTCTGACTCCGTCACAGGGCTGGTGTGAACCTCAAATGAGATCACAGCTACATAGATCACTTTATGGACTCAAAAGTGTGATAGAAATATCGACGCTTACTCTATTTTCATTTTCATATCATCTTATTCTTAGTTTTTTGTAGGTCCTTGAGTAGTGCAAAACAATTTGTGCCCAACTACTAACCTTAGATTGGTCATTTGAATCCACCCAGTGGTGCCATGGAAGAAAGGCCTGGCAATCTACTTCTGTAAGACTGTTGTTGTGTGCCACTGAGCTGATTCTGACTCATAGCAACCCCATGCAACAGAATAGAACTGCCCTCTAGCATTTCCTAGGCTATAATCTGTACGGGAGCAGATCACCAGGTCTCTTCTCCCACGGAGTGGCTAGTGGATTTGAACTGCTGAGCGTCCCATTTGCAGCCGAGCACTTAACTATTGCACCACCAGGGCCCCTTTTTGTAAGATTACAGCCATTGAAACCCCTATGGAGTGCAGTTTGCTGTACTGCCTTAAATAACTAGTTTGAGGAGCCCAGCATGGGTGAAGGATTCCATCAGGAAAGGAGGCTGGAGAGAGGAAGGTAGAGCAGGGACGGAGAACTTTGTATGCCTAAAGAGTTTGGATTTTTTTCCTGTAAACGAAGAAAAGTTATTGGAAGTTTATCAGTCAAGGTTCTCCAGAGAATTGGCTCATGCAGTTGTGGGACCTGCATCGCAGGCTGGAAATTCAGGTTAAGAGTTGATGTTGCAGTCTTGAGTCTGAATGAAATATGTTGGGTGGGCCAGCTGACTGGAAACTCGGCAGGATTTCTGTTGCTGCCTCAAGGCCGAATTCCTTTCTTCTTCAGGAAACCTCAGATTTTTTTTTTTTATTTTTTTTTATTGTACTTTAGATGAAGGTTTACAGAACAAATAGTTTCTCATTAAACAGTACACATATTGTTTTATGACATTGGTTACCAACCCCATGACATATCAACACTCTCCCTTCTTGACCTTGGGTTCTCTATTACCAGCTATCCTGTCTCCTCCTGCCTTCTAGTCCTTGTCCTTGGGCTGTTGTGCCCCATTAGTCTCATTTTGTTTTATGCGCCTGTCTAATCTTTGGCTGAAGGATGAACCTCAGGAGTGACTTCATTACTGAGCTAAAATGGTGCCCGGGGGCCATACTCTCAGGGTTTCTCCAGTCTCTGTCAGGCCAGTAAGTCTGGTTTTCTGTTTTTTTGTTTTTTTGTGAGTGAGAATTTTGTTCTACATTTTTCTCCAGCTCTGTCCGGGGCCTTCTGTTGTGATCCATGTCAGAGCAGTCAGTTGGTGGTAGCTGGGCACTATCTAGTTGTACTGGACTCAGTCTGGTGGAGGCCGTGGTAGTTGTGGTCCATTAGTCCTTTGGACTATTCTTTCCCTTGTATCTTGTTTTCTTCATTCTCCCTTGCTCCCCAAGGGGTGAGACCAGTGGAATATCTTAGATGGCTGTTCACAGGCTTTTAAGACCCCAGATGCTACTCACCAAGGTAGAATGTAAAACATTTTCTTTATAAACTACGTTATGCAAGTTGAGCCAGATGTTCCGAGACCATGGTCCCCACAGCCCCCAGCCCAGTAATTTGGTCCCTCAGGGAGTTTGGATGTGTCTGTGGAGCTTCCATGACCTTGCCTTGGACAAGATGTGTTGGCTTCCCCAGTATTGTGTACTGTCTTACCCTTCATCAAAGTTACCACTTATCTATTGTCTATTTAGTGTCCCCCCCACCCCTCCCCTCCCTCGTAACCATCAAAGATTGTTTCTTTTTGTGCGTAAACCTTTTAAATTGTTTTCACAGTAGTGGTCTCATACAGTATTTGTCCTTTTGTGATTGACTTATTTCACTCAGCATAATGCCATCCAGATTCATACACGTTATAAGATGCTTTGCAGATTCATCACTGTTCTTTATCATTGCATAATACTCCATTGTGTGTATGTACCGTAGTTTGTTTATCCATTCATCTGTTGATGGGCTTCTAGGTTGTTTCCATCTTTTTGTTATTGTGAACAATGCTGCAGTGAACATGGGTGTGCATATGTCTATACGTGTGACGGCTCTTATTTCTCTAGGGTATATTCCTAGGAGTGGGATTGCTGGATTATATGGTATTTCTATTTCTAGCTTTTTAAGGAAGTGCCGTATCATTTTCCAAAATTGTTGTATCATTTTGCATTCCTGTCAGCAGTGTATAAGAGTTCCAGTCTCCCTGCAGCCTCTCCAACATTTGTTATTTCCAGTGTTTTTGATTCGTGCCAGTAATGGTGGGGTGAGATGGTATCTCACTGTAGTTCTGTTTTGCATTTCTCTAATGGCTAGTGATCGCAAGCATTTCCTCATGTGTCTGTTGGCTGCTTGAATGTCTTCTTTGGTGAAGTGTCTGTTCATTTCCTTTGCCCACTTTTTAATAGGATTATTTGTCTTTTTGTTGTAGAGGTGTCAGATTTTCTTGTAGATTTTAGAGATTAGACCTTTGTCCGATTTGTAATGGCCAAAAATTTTTTTCCAGTCTGTAGGAAACCTCAGTTTTCGCTCTTAAGGCTTTCTATCTGATTGGATGAAGCCTGTCCACATTATGGAGGGTAATCTGCTTTACTTAAAATCAGCTGATTATAAATGTTACCCACATCTAAAAACATTCATAACAACATCTAAACACATGTTTGATCAAACAGCTGGGCACCATAGCCTCACCAGGGTGACACCTAAAATGAATCATCACAGAAGAGTCTAATCAGGGCACTAACATGATTGGCTCTGGGCTCAGGAAAATTCACTCTGGGGGCAAGTGTGGAGGAGGAAATATTTGGGGTAGGGGTAGTGGTCGAGATAGGGGGACCAGTTAGGACACCTCTATAACCATGCAAATGGCAGATGAAGAGGAGTTGAACTATAGGACAATAGCTTTAGGATAAAGAATAAACATCCTTTAAAAAAAGTACGTACATTAAATTAAAAGATTTTTTGAAAGTGGAATATTATTCTAAATACACTGAAGAAGCACGGTATTTACGGGAATCCTTTATTTAATGCTTTTGTAAATAATTATGAATGTACCTGCACACACATACATACACACACATATGAATTGTCAGACTGAAATGCCTTTAAGTTTAGGTGTTTGCCCCTGAGTAGTCTTCAGATTGGATGGCCTGTACAATCGATCATTGACAGATTTCTGAGCAACTCCTGTTATGGGTTGATATCTAAAGAGGATAATTGACAGAGCTTTCAGAGTGTTTATTAACAAACAGAAAAATGTTAGCTTCTGCAGAGATTTTGATGACCTTTTGCATAAAACTTGGTTTCTCAATGGAATGCATTGTGATTGATGTTTTTGTTTCAGAAACAGGTCCAAGCGTTAAGGAACGGAATCAGATTCCTGCACGTAAGTCTTTATGCAACTATTTGAAAACGAAGTCTCCTGGGCTTTTATAAGAACTATTTAGTTAGTGAACATTTGCCAAACTTTGAGTTTTGATAAGGAGACCTCTGCTCCCATTCTCACTTCTCCTTTCCTTTTTTTTTCCCTCATTCTTTCTTTTTCCTTTCCTTTGTCCTTCCTTCATTCTCCTCTTTCTTCTTTTCCTTTGCTATTTTTTAATATCAGTTTGTTGACTCATTGCTAGTATATTGGGAAGGCAGTATGTTAATTCTAGAGACGTTAATTATTTGCATACTTATATCCATTGTGATATCCACTGTGTAAAGAAAGCATTAACTTAAGCTATGGCAGTGATTTGCTCTAAGTGCCATCAACGATATTTACCTGCTCAGAGAAGCAGTGCTAAGGGAAGTAGTGGTTGTACCTTTAAGACAATCTCTAATCCAAGGGCCGTGGAGGGGCCTGGGGAGTACATATGAGAAAAAAAGAGATACATCAACTACTGTAGAATGATGAGTTGGAAATTATTTAGGCCAGTTTCCTCATTTTATATGGAATAAGAAGCTGACCCAGAAAGACTTAAGTGACTTGCCCTTGTTACAGTTGGTGCTTCAGGCAGGGCTAGAACCTAGGCTTCCTGGGTGTATTCCTAGATCTCTTCTAGATGATGTTCCCTTGTGAGGAAAATCTGTGCTTTTTTTCCATTCCTAAGACTCTCAGGATTGGTCTCCATGCTAACACCATCACATACACAGGACAGCTAGTCTGGAGAGTTCCTTTATACAAAGCACGTTACAAACAGTTCCACTAAGTGAAGTACTTAACAATATCGTAGAACTAGACGTGAACCCAGAAATAGAGACACATATGAACACATTCTGTCGTATTTATACTAGTCTGATTGTCATAAATGACATCTCCATTTTTGGAATTCTAGAATATTTCCACGAAAGACCTTAAAAATCATGCCGCATTTTTGCACCTGTAAACACAGAAAGACAAAATAAACAAACAACAACAAAAAACAAACTCGTTGCCATCAAGTCGATTCCAACTCATAGCAACCCTATAGGACAGCGTAGAACTGCCCCATAGGGTTTCCAGGGAGTGGCTGGTGGATACGAACTTTTGGTTAGCAGCCAAGCTCTTAACCACTGTACCACTAGGGTTCCATCGAAAGACAGGTCATGTTTTAATATGTCTCCTTCTAGGGTATCCCCATCCCTTTTACAAACTCCTGTTTTATATAACCCCTGTGTCCAGCAGGTGAAATAGTGTTATGCTCATTTGTTCAGAAGTTAAATGAACATACCAAAGGACACATGGCTAGTAACCAGAAAGAGTGGGAATTTCAATCCTTCCAGACTCTTTTCCAAAACAACACACTTTTCCTGAGTGCCTTTGGAGTATGGGGGCTTTTCAGGCATAAGATTTGTCTATAGCTGAATCTTTTACACTGAAGTGAGTTGAAAGGCAAAAAGACTTAATTTAATTGATATAGCAAGCAGCTGAAGTTGCTTTTGACTGGTGAGGGTAGTAGAGATAAGATTGAAATAATGGGGAGAGCCTGTACCTTCAATTTGCATTTAAAAACCAGAGACCTCAGAGGTCTTATTCTACCAAAAACCTCTCTCCCCTGGAAACTGATTTTAACTTCTTATAAGTGACTTGAAGAAGGTAGTTTTCTTAAATGAAAGGAAATGTTCTATTTCTGTGGCCTGGAATTAATTTCAAATATAAAAAAACTTTGCCAAATGGAAGAACAGTTGGTTCTGTTTATGTGTTTTGCTGACCATAAAACTGACATCACTCCCCACTGAGAAGTATTTCCATTCCCCACGTAGAAGGATCACAGTTTGAAAAGTGTTAAGGCCTAGGGTGTTTTAAATGACACAAAACACAGTTGTTAAAATTGAGGGTTTAGTTTGAGATCAGTGAAATATTATAATCCATAGAAATAGTCTGTTCGTATTCTGTGATTTCTTCTTCTCAGCCCCTTTCTTCCTGTTATATTTTATACTTTTAAATGTTTACAAAAATATGTTTATGAAGTATTGTGTTTTCTATGCCATGCCTCCTAGCCTTATTGGAGGTGTTCAATCATAAGAAACAGTTAGATGTCGATGATGGGAGTTTACCTTACTTTCCAATGCGTCTTAATCTCTGAATTTTCAAGCCACTTACCAATCAAATAGTAGGTCCTCAGACTGAAACAATGAAATGATAAACAGAAGGTTTCATACAGAGTTTACAAATCTGATTTTTTAGTAAATTTGTTGCTTAAAACTGAAGATACCATGGAAACCTGAGAACTTCTTTTTCCTTCCAGACAAAATTTGCAAGTTACAAATACAGTGTATTTTGTTGGGATCTTTATTAGATTCTCAGATTTTATTAGTCCTTGCTCAGTTGATGGTGCTTGTGAAATAAAGTTGCAATAGATATAAAATGCAGACTAACTTAAAGTGCACGTCTTGGTTCCCCTTCTTTCTAGCAATTTTCCACGGCTTGGACACCCTAACTGTGATGGGCATTGCGTTTGCAGCATTTGTGATTGGAGCACTCCTGACGGGGGCCTTGTGGTACATCTATTCTCATACAGGTTAGTGTGACTGTTGAATATTAGTTGTTGGCTGTCTTAGTTATCTAGTGCTGCTATAACAGAAATACCACAAGTGGATGTCTTTAACAAACAGAAATGTATTCTCTCACAGTCTAGGAGGCTAGAAGTCCAAATTCAGGGTGCCAGCTCCAGGGGAAGGCTTTCTGTCTCTGTTGGTTCTGAGGGAAAGTCCTTGTCTTCAATCTTCCGCTGGTCTGGGAGCTTCTCAGCACAGGGACTCTGGGTCCAAAGGACACACTCTGCTCCTAGCACTTCTTTCTTGGTGGCATGAGATCCCTATCTCTCTGCTTGATTCTCTCTCCTTCTATCTCTTGTAAGATAAAAAGTAATACAGGCCACACCCCAGGAAACTCCCCTTACATTAGATCAGGGCTGTGACCTGAATAAGGGTGCTGCATCCCACCTTAATTCTCTTTAACATAACCTAATCTTGCCTCATTAACCACAGGCAGAGATTAGGATTTACAACACATAGGAAAATCACATCAGATCACAAAATGGAAGGCAACCACACAATACTGGGAATCATGGCCTAGCCAAGTTGTTTAAAGGAGCACATTCCTTGCAAGTGTTACTGTTTATTTTATAGGCCAGTCTATTATTTGGCTAAAAGGTGACTTCTGGGAGTGGTTTCAGTTCCAGGTTAAAAGGGTATCTTAGGGCGATAGTCTTGGAGGTTCCTCTAGTCTCTATCACTCCAGTATGTCTGGTCTTTTTTACAAATTTGAATTTTGTTCTACGTTTTTCTCCCATTCTAGCCTGGACCTTCTCTTATGTCCCTGGTTGGTGGTGGTAGCCGGGCACTATCTAGTTCTTCTGATCTCAGGCTAGAATATGCCATACTCTTCTTTGATGACAAAATTCTCCTATCTTTCTTTAAAGTTATTTAAAATTTCAAAATCTATAATTAAGAATTAAAAACAAATAAAAGTGATGAAACAAAGCACTTTGTTTCCAAGCTATGCTCCCTGATCCCCAGAAATTCTAATGTCTCTGTCTCCCCTTACTCCCAAGGTTGAGACTTAACTGGCCTGAACAGAGAACCTATTCTGACCTCAATACAGAATTGTAGCCCAGCAAGGGGAGTCAGTAGAGCAGTGGGGAGGGAACAAATGACCTACCCTTCTATTGCAATTTCCTTGCAATTCTGGAGAGGAAAGACATGCATTCTGAGGCATATCTAGCCATCTAGTTGGTCTTGTTCATTCTTGGATATTTGTAGTTTACATACTGAACTTACGTAAACTGTGCTGGATCAGTCAGAGGCCAGTGGCAGACCCAGCCTCTCTATTTGGAATTTCGTTAATTCTCCGTTGAACCAATGAAGGCCGTGATCTCTGACCTCACCTTGGACTGTTCAACTAGTCAAGCTGAAAGGATGACTGATTTAAAGTGAAGAGAAGCACTGAAGATTTGTGGGAGTCATATCTTAATCTTCTTGATTGCTAGACCAAGCCTCAAACTGTTGAGAATAAAAACATTAACAGCGATCCTCTGTTACACTCTTTTCCCGCTTAGCATGAAGTTAAAATCTTAAGTATCAGACTCTTTTTCATCAGAAATTTCCCTTCAAATACTGCTGTCCCCAGCTGAGTTATTGTAGATCACACCTAGCACATGAAATTCACGAAGTCCAAAGCTGACCTCTTGGCAAGAGTTCAGGAGCATTTAATATTGCTGCTGTTGCTGTTCCTAGTCAACAACATTTGAGTGAAGTATATTCCATGTAAGAGAGAGAATCAGACTCTTAAGCATAATAATTCTGAGGATTATACAACTCTGTGAATCAATTTAGGAGTATTCCTCCACGTGAGCAGCTTTTAAAATGACCAGAAGAGACAGCTTTTAGCAGAGTAGCGTTGTAAGGTGAATAATTTTGTCACAACAATACTGACTTGTTCAAATCTCAAAGTTCTTTGCATCTTTTTCCAACATCCTGCATGGCTGTGAGGTTCTAGGGCTGTTGGCAGCCTATGCTGTATATTGGGAGTGAATTTGAAATTACGCCAAGAAAACTAACCCTGAGGTTTTATATGGGGTAGGCACCCATAGATGTTCCACATGTGCCTGCTAAGCCACGGACTGGCCTTGGTCATAGAGCTGCATCCTCAACTTTGCAAGCTAATCTCTCGCCAGGGAGGGTCAGGAAGCCAGAAGGCACACTCTTTTGGAACACACCCGCACTGAAATCCACTGGTAATCCCCTACTCTCATCCACAACCAAGCATACAAACCTGATGAAAAGCAAAGCTCAGTTTATGGTGTTTATTCCTGCTCACTGAACTTGGAGGTTTGTTGTTACTGCTCCTTTCCCCCTCAAACCACAGGCTTAGGAGGCGTTTTTAAGTTTTTGTTAATATAGAAAATTGTAAGTAAATTAAAGCAAAACAAAACCAAAAACCCTTCCTGTGGTGCTTTCTAGCAAACTAAATTGTGCTGTTTTGGAAGGCTTACAGATTTACAAACACTGTCACTTCGGCTCTAAATCTGTTAGCGTCACGTATAATGCAGCTTCACCATTACTTTGTATTAAAAGCTATCGTTTCTGGTTCATTTTTACAAACTGCTCCTGAGGAACAGTAGGGTCACATTCTACATGAAGAGGTTTAACTTTTCCTCAAATCTGAAGAAGGCTCACTTTTCTCCCTACAAATATCGAGAAGGGCCAAATGGTACTTTCTTGTCCAGAAACCCCTCAGTTTCTTCTTACCTGGGTGAGCTAGCAGTGAGTTTAGACGAAAAGGGAATTTCATAATGCAGCCAGTGGGATGAGTTGGGTACTCAAACCCTGATTCAGTCCACTTCAATTTCCACAATAAACTAAGCTGTAGAACTCAGGCCTTATATGGTATATTTGGGGGTTCAGACAGCATCTGCCTCTATGTCAAAAACAATCCTTAATTTGGATGCCTTTTCCTTTAGTTGTGCTTTGCATTCCATGTGCAGCACAGAGCACTAAACCAATCCACATATTTGAGTTGGGGATATCTACTTACATACCTGGAATGTGAGCAAGTCTAAGAAAGCTTGGTTCCTACTTTATCATATGACAACTCTGGGCATAAGGAGTTGTCAGATGATAAATACTTCCATAAGGCTATATTCATTCTGTTTGAGGAAACTCCATTCCTAAAACTTACATTCTCTCCCAAGATGATGCAGAGAGGAGGGACAGAGAGAGGTGGAAATGGTGCTAGAATGAAACCGTAGAATCTTCACACTCCTTAGGGAGTCTAGCTAGTTCAGGGATCCCCAGCCATCTAGTCCATGAAGGTCCCTAAAATCACGTGCAAGCTTGTATATGTGCATTTTTTCTGAGAAGAGGGACAACGCTTTTATTTTTCATTAAAAATTTATAGCTTTAGCCAGCACAACTTCTACAAGGCAAGGTCATGGAAACTCCATAGACACATCCAGACTCCTGAGGGACCAAATTGCTGGGCTAAGGGCTATGGGACCATAGCCTCAGAGAACATCTAGCTCAATTGGCATAACATAGTTTACAAAGAATATGTTCTACATTCTACTTTGGTGAGTAGCATCTGAGGTCTTAAAAGCCTGTGAGCGGCCATCTAAGATACTCCACTGGTCGCACTCCTTGGGGAGCGAGGGAGAATGAAGAAAACTAAAGATACAAGGGAAAGATTAGTCCAAAGAACTAATAGACCACAACTACCACAGCCTCCACCAGACTGAGTCCAATATAACTAGATGGTGCCCAGCTGCCACCACTGGCTTCTCTGACAGGGATCACAGTAGAGGGTCCCAGAAAGAGCTGAAGAAAAATGTAGAACAAAATTGTAACTCACAAAAAAAGACCAGACTTATTGGCCTGACAGAGACTGAAGAAACCCTGACAGTATGGCCCCCGGACACGCTCTTAGCTCAGTGATGAAGTCATTCCTAAGGTTCAACTTCAGCCAAAGATTAAACGGGCCCATAAAACAAAACGAGAGTAAAGGGGCACACCAGCCCAGGGGCAAGGGCTAGAAGGCAGGAGGGGACAGGAAAGCTGGTAAGAGGGAACCCAAGGTTGAGAGGGAGAGTGTTGACATGTCTTGGGGTTGTTAACCAGTGTCACAAAACAATATGTGTACTAACTGTTCAATGAGAAGCTAGTTTGTTCTGTAAACCTTCATCTAAAGTACAATAAAGAAGAAAACTTAAAAAAAAAATTTATAGCTTTATCAAAGCAGTGCATGCACAGTTTAAAGGCTAAAATAGCTCTACAAGACTCGTTATAAAAAATACCAGTTCTGTACTGCCCCTCCCCCATATCTTCCTCCTCAGAGCAACCACTTTTGACTCTTTGCTGGTTCCCCTCTTCCTCTTCCTCCTCCCTCTGAATTATTATTAGACTTCCGAGTATGAGTAAAATCCTACAGAAAACCAAGGTGAAAGTGCAAACGGTATGGCCATACTGTAGGAAAATAGAAAGAAAATGTTAGTCTGGACAACTTGAAAGACTTTAATTCCTACTTCAGAACATTTCCCCTTTTCCCCATAACCTATAACAACTTGTAACAACAACTCTTGGAGAACTCTGCCTGCAAAAGAAGATCTTTTAGCTTGAAGAATGGAGAAGGATAATTTTTGAAGATACTAAAAAGGTAATAGTGTTCGGAACTCTTGGTGGTTGAAAAATTCACTGAACTAAAGGTGGTCTCGTTCTTTCTCCTTACTGGAATGAGCCTGTGAAATAATTACAGTTAGGACGCCAAGAAACAGAGCTATTCATCGGTACAAAATTGCAACCAGTATGGGCCTAAAGGAAAATATCCTGGTTTTCTTCCCATCAACAAGGACTATTAAATCTAAATCACCCCCAGGCATGTGGTTGTCAATCCTATACTTAAATATCTCCTGAGAAAGCGATTCCATAAATTCTGTTTATAACTAACCAATCCTCGTAATCAGCAAGTTCTTTTCTATCTGACCCAAATCCCTGCCGCTGCCATTTAAACTCATTTCCTTATGTTCTGCCTCAAGGGAGATAGGGAACAGCTGTCGTTCCTCTGTAATAATCTTCTATGGACAGTATTTGCAAACGGCCTCCTTTGGGCTAAATAATCGGGATTCCTTTCATCTTTCTTTTAAACTCTTGTTGTTGTTGTTTCTCTAAAGCCTCTCCAAGTTATTCACATCTTTCTTAGATAAAGTTTCTCCACTAGTATCCAAACAGGACCTGCCATGGTGAAAGGCTTGGCGATAACCATCCAGTGGAAAAGTAGACTGCCAAAGAGATGGCAGGAAATTAGATATGGACATCTCCATGCCATGCTAAAGAAATAAATTTAATTTACTCAATAAAATAAAAATAACATCCCTTAAGAATTATATTTTTCTGCTTCTAGAAGCATCTCTGGCATTATCTAGGCCCAGTCTCAGGTTGATATGTGAACTGGGCAAAATTAATCCTGGGTGCCCTTGTTGTCAGTGTACCCCTCTCCTCCAGAGTACCTCATGTGGCAACTGCCTTTTTCCGCTACTCATTCTCCCTCCCTGCTAAATCTCTCTTTCTTCAATGTGGTTTGAGATTTTAGTAGCAAAGCATGAAGACCAAACACATTTCCTCTGATGGCCAAGCATGGTGTTTATGAGCAAGGAGTCTCTCTGAACCTCTTACATTCATTAAGTGGGCCTACCTGGCCCATCCCTGGCCGTCTCCTTCAGAAGTAGCATCGTTGTATTTTCTCACACCAAGGGATATTTTAGAAAACGTCAGTGCTCCAAGAAATCGGAGGTAGGAAGTAGAAAGTCCAAGGAGTCGTTTGAGAAAACCCAGGGAACTTGGTTCTTCTTAAAACAGAAGCACCTGCACGTTAAACTTCCTTATGGTGAATTTTTCTGTAGTGCCTCTTTCATCTGACAGAACTTTTTCTTAATTTTGTCAAAAGATAAATGCTATTATGAACTCGGTTATATTTTGAAATCTCCAGTATCTTCCATGTGAAAATAGCCATAGAGATAGAAGGGATTGTCTAAAGAAGGGGTTTTCAACATTTCCAAGCAGCTTCTCAAAGATTGCCTTGGCAGATTATTGGATCAAGGTCAATAGATGATGAGGTTAAGTTGACTCTTCCATCTTGGTGAAATGCATCCTGCAGTCTTGCATGGGGGGCTTCTTTGTTTTGTTTTGTTTGGGGTTTTATTTTGAGCAGTATTTTGCATTAACAGGGTAAAGAGTTTCCAAAATCTTTGAAGTTGAAAGACCTTTTTAATGAGCACTGATGAAAATAAACTGGCATGGCAACAAATTATATTTGGCAAATAGACATCGGAAAGCAAATATTCTGACTTCCTGGACAGGGAGTCACAGTGGCACTTTACCTGAATGTGAATGATCAAGCACACGTTGGTAATTCTGGAGGAAAGAAACTTGTTTGCTGTCAGTAGGTGAGGCAAGGCCATCTTGCTTTAGCAAATAAAGGCTGAGCAAATGAGGCCTAACTGAGCCAAAAAGGAAAGGGGGGTATTGGTGACATACCTCCTACTTTGCTGATGTATTCTTTACTTAAATGGGGAAAGATGTTTTTGTAATGTGGTTCTTAGACAGCCACATTCGACCTAATTGCTAACATGAGGATCCAGCTGGTGTGTGGATCAACATGTGGGTTGTAAGGGGGCTGCTGAACTCTTAAAGTATATCGAGATTTGTTTAGGTCTCTGGAATATTCTTTGTGAACATCAGAATTGCGAAGAGATTTTGATTCTCTCCTAGAAATAAAGCTCCCACTCAGGAAGAAGTGAATTTTTGGCAGAAGGGTGGGGGCAATGCTGGGGAGGGCCCAAAAAGGAAGAGTAAAAATGCCCTGCCTCTCAGGCAGAGTGATCCTCCATCCCCCTCCACCAGTTCCAGAGGCAAATGTATTCAGAGGAAATGTAGCAGGGGCCAATTATGCAACAAGCATGTAAGTGCTCTGAGATTGATGCAAAAATGTATGTAGGTGTATGGTTGGTAAAGCGGGTGACAGGGAAAGCTGTAACCAGACCGGGGGGCATGAACCAGTTCTGCATTTTGCAGAACTGCTTTTTTGGCAGAGGCTATGAGAGACAGGAGAAAGGGAATGGAAGTAGTGGGCTGGAGTTCCCGTGCTCTGAGGGCAGAGCCTTTGCACTGTGTGTTTTGTTTTAGTGAAGTGGCCTGGAGGGTTGCTTATCTCCAGCTGATAGATTTGTATTTCAGCATGACAGGAAAGAGGAGGCTTATTCATAAACAGACCTGGCCCTCTGGGGCTTCCCACATTTGAGGGGAGAGGCTGCTTACAAGAAATTTATGAAGTCGATGCCCTGACTTTTCAAGAAAAATGTTAACGTTTTTCATTGAAGAGCCCTCATCCCTTTTTCCTATCTAGAGCCATTTTTTTGAGGGCTGCACTGAGGCCAGTTTTGCTGGAGAAAAGACTAACTCTAGGACCTTTTGCAGTGTTAAATGCAAACCATGTGTGTGACCCGAGGTTTCCTCCCTCTCCAAAGCAGTGTACATTTGGCACACAGAATGAGTTTAGCTAAAATGCAGTGGGATGTGTAATGAAAAGTGGGATACTTCATGTGTTAGGATATACTCTGCAGTAAACCTCAGAATGGAGGTGGATGTGTTTCCTCGCAGCCGCAGTCCCCATGTACAAACAGCTAAAGCCCTTCCCACAAGGTTTTTCAGATAGCAGTCTCCCCACTTCAGAGGCATTCCCCTTTCTAAGGTAGGTTGTCTGCTTAGTGCACAAGGCACTCTCTGCTGCTGTCCAGTTGACTCTCAACTCATGACAGCCTCATGCACAGCAGAACGAAATGCTGCCCGGTCCTGTGCCATCCCCATAATTGGTTGCAGATCAGACAGTTGTGATCCATAAGGTTTTCATTGACTGCCTTTCAGAAGTAGATTGCTAGGCCTTTCTTCCTAGTCTGTCTTAGTCTGGAAGCTCCTCTGAAACCTGTTCAGCATCATAGCAACATGCAAGCCTCCACTGACAGACGGGTGGTGGCTGCACATGAGGTGCGTTGGCTGGGAATTCAACTGGGTCTCCTGCATGGAAGATGAGAATTCTACCACTGAACACCACTGCACTTCTTTCTACTGTAGCTAGGGCAAAAGCTAGACTTGCTTACCCTGTTTTTAACAAGTACATTCTGAAAAAGACCCCCAAGCTATCAAGATTCTCTTATTACAGTTTAGAGGTCTCACCCTACATACCCTACAACAGCTTTATGAGAGTCGGTGGATAGCGGTTCCTAAATACAGGTGCCAATTACTTGGATTAGACAGTGCTAATGTTGGTGGTTTCTTCAGAGGGCTCCAAAATACAGGGAACTTTGTGTCAACTGTCAAAGTTCTTAGCCACTGTGGCTGCCTGTTAGCCAGCTTAGAAACGATCCTGCTTTTCCCCATGCAAGAGGCTTTATGAGCAAAACAACAAAAACAAACGGAAAAGCCTTATGGTAGAGTCTAACCGTCTAGGATCTAGTCTAGCTGCTTCTGCCCATGGTTGAGAAAAACATGGACTAAAATGACAAAGGGGAAATGTTCTTTTCAGTAATGCACACAGGTAACATGCCTCTCTCTCTGCCTCTTTATTAACTGCAGGGGAGACCCCAGGAAGGCAGCAAGTCCCCACCACCCCGCCAGCCTCGGAAAACAGCAGCGCGGCCCACAGCATCGGCAGCACGCAGAGCACGCCCTGCTCCAGCAGCAGCACCGCCTAGCCCGGCCAGCCGCCGCCAAGGGCAGGGCCTGGCAGCTGGTGCCACGCGCCCAGACTTGGAGGGCTTAATTTTGGTTCCCTTGTAAAGAGTGAATTTCAATATAAAATCACCTGATGTATTCACACCCCCTCCCACCCAGGGCGAAGATAAACCTGACCCCTGGACTTTTGACTTTCACGCTAGAATTCATGTGAGAAAGCAAAGATGGTGGCCTTTTCCACCGGCCCCTCATAGGCTTGGGGGGGGTTGTCAATGTGAAACACATGCCAGTTTTTAAAATGCTGCTTTGTCCAGGTAAGAACATCAGTAATTTGGGGCCCTGAGCTTTACACAGACTTAAAGGAGCTGATAAGAAGTTACTAGCCAGATAGTAGAACCAATGAGATGTGGCCAAAGATTCATCTATGTCTGAACCAAGGTGTAAAACAGAAGAAATGCTTTAAGACTTTCTAAGCATCCTCCAGGTCTCATTTGCACCTTTGTCTGGGTGGCACACTTCTTGACCTTGCTGCCGTACCTGTGGGGTCTGATGTGTCAGCTTGATGGGTGCTGCTCTCCGGGACTGCATCCTGACACACATCAAGGCAACATTCCTTACTTGTGCCCTGGGCCAAAAACAATGCTGATTACCTTATCAGCTTCCCGTTTCTCTGTACACTTGCACACCGACTGCAAAAATGTCTTAATGCAAATCTTGCCTTTCTTTATAGACATATAGAGATTGAAAAATGGCTAAATTCTGCGACTGAGGATTTGTGCCATTTGTGGCATTTTGTTCTGATAGATTAATAGATAAACTGGGGGCAAAATTCAGTTGTAGCGTTGAGGAGGAATTTGCAGAGATATATGTGTGCGTGTATGCAAGTGCAAGTATATAATATGTCATCTGGCACATTCATTTTCTAAGTTGAAGAAGAAAATATTCATTCCCCATTTGAAAAGATTCTGTGCTTTCAGAGTTGGAACTTTTTCTTCAGTGTATTTGGTGGAATGAGCGTTTCTACTTAAAACATGTCAACCTTTTTAATAGACCCTTTTGTAAAAACCAAACTCTTGTAAATTGAAAATGCACGGCGGATCCTGTTAGACTCCAGTTGGTTATCTGAACAGTGTCACCAGTTCTGCCAAGAAAGTGCTGCAGTATGGAAAATGGCACTCATTTGGGTTGCCTATGTTCTCTTGCCTTAATGTATCCCAAACTTGAAAAAGATTTGAGGTGAATTTCATTAAATGGAATAGTATGATGCCCCTTTGCAGCTAAAATAAGCTCAACTGATACCTGTGTTAAAAGAGAATGCCAGAGGAAAATCACTTACTGAGGAAGATAGCTCCATTGCAAATCAAACGTTACTCTTTTTCCATAATTCTTCTCAGATGACTCAGAATTCCAGAAGTAGAACAGGCTAGATTCTACTGTAAAATATTCACAAGCAGATCTCACTGCCCTAAAATAAGGAAGCTGTGCCTGGTTCTCTGTGAATGGAACCTGAAGTAGGAAATGCCCGAGAGCAGTGTCTGTATGGCAAACAAGTAGGTGGAAAGTTGTCAATCATTATTTACCTAATCATTGAATAATCGTTTGATTGATTTGATAGGTGTAGACATTCACTCAGGATTATTTTAACCAAAACAGATTAGATTAGGTTTGAGATTTCCAGTCTATCTACATTGATACATTGAAAGCTTTACAAATTTCCACATACAAATGAAGAAGATGTGAGATTACAGGATAATTTTTTTCCTTTAGTTTTTTTTTTTAATGTAAGGGTATCAGAATGGAGGACCTAAATTACGCTACCTTTGTTTGAAAATAATGCGCTTTGCCTAACCTTCAGCAGAATGTATTGTTTTAGCATATTCTATGTATAAAAAAGTTTAAAGATGTCTTCAAAGAAGACTAGAGTCTTTAAGTCACTTATAGCTATATTTTACTACCAAAAAAACATGTATAAAGATATATTTGTTTTAGATAAATTTAAGTTACTCCATATGAAATGTTTAATTTCAGTTACTGTGAATTCTTTTGATTAGTTCTTTGTTTTTGTTTTTTTTTAAATCCCTTTTCCATCTTGTTTAAAAAGAAAATTAGCTACTAGGAGGTATTAAAAGGTCCATTTCTTAGATGGATACGGTTAAAGCCTTTTGTAATATATTTTAATGTATATTTTTGAGAGAAATGCTACATTACGAATGATTTTATAAATAACTTTGTTAATATACAAATTTATAGTTGCAAATCAAAAGATTTTCCTAAAAAGAAAAGGGAAAAAATCACCTTTAATTTCTGATATATTTGAGCAAATTTGTTTGGGTCTCTTTGTCAGAAGTATTATTAAATCAAGACATCTGTGTTGATGAAACCTGGTCCATGTTAGTTGGAGAGTGAATGTCATTAAGTACTTCTGAAGTATTTCTTGAAAATGAATGTTAAAAAATAGAGTGTTTTCTCCCTAGCTTCTTGTTACAGCATTTCTGATTGCTTCATACTTCACAGTTTTAATACAAAGTACAAGCTCTACTTTTATAACATGTTCTGAAAGCATCTTTGAAACTGTTGTTATATTCCAGTTGAACTCATCTTTCTGCAAGATGTTTTGTTATTTCTGCTGCCTAAACCATTCACACAGGCCATTTTATTTTGTTTGTTTAATGCTAAAGCTATGGTTGAAATGCTTTTAAACTCCAGGGCCGCCTTGTCTGTGTGATACCCTATAGCCCTTTCACCATGGGGTGTTTACCGGCTGTTACTCTGTATTTTAAAAAGTCACAGATTTTTTCTGTCTCAGCTGTTTGTGTAGCATTTTCTAAACAAACAACAACAACAAAAATGATCCTTTCCTTGTCCCGTAATAAGATTGTAAATCCATTTCCTGCATGTGTTCTGTAGTGGGGCATGATTGTGAGTATGTGTGGGGCACACACACGTGTGCCAGGCTTCTTGTAATGTAACTACCTCATGGTTTGAATGGTGATTGTACTGCTGGTTATTTGTTAACAGAGCACATTTTGTTGGGTGAGTTGTGTATGTGGTTTTTCCTGTTATATCCGGGGGTTGTTCATGAAACTGACAGATGTTTTTCTAAAAAGGTCTATTATCAGTTTCCGAATACAGTACTTCTCTCTTCTGGTTTTTTCCTGAATGAGCCTGATTTTGTTGCTGTCTTTCATCATCTATGAGGGTAAAAAGAGTACCCGTAAAATCCCTGTGGCCAGTTTGAATACCCCTGTTGTATTCTTTGTTCAATGTGTCCGCAATTTTGTGAACATGCTTAGATGTATAGTTTTGATAACCACAGTTTTAAGTCTTTTATCTGTGCATAATAAAGAGATATATATATCAATTATTATGTTTTGTTTACTCATCATTAAATTCTACCACCGTAGACCGATAGAACTTTCTTCACTGTGACTTTCTCCTAAATTTATCTTCTTCCCTAACTGTGTTGATGAGGAGGAGGGAGGGAGAAGACTAAGAGGATCCCCTAGGCTCACTAGAACAGAGGGAGGCGGGGCTGGGGTGTGGAGGAGACTGCAGCAGGAGCTATCCCGCTTCCCAGAAAAATGTGGCGGAAAACCTGGAGTGGGAGTGGTCTTGGAATCTCTTCCTGGGCTTTCTGTCAATCTCCTAAAGGCAAGAAAAGGGAAGCTATGTATTTGTTGTTAGCTGCTGTAGAGTTCACCTCCAACATATCAACCCCATGCACAGTGGAACGAAGTGCTGCTCAGTCCTGCATTATCCCCATGATTGGTATCATTATAACTCATAGGGTTTTCATTGGCTGATTTTCAGAAGTAGATCACCAGGCCTTACATCCTAGTCTGTTTTAGTCTGAAAGCTCCGCTGAAGCCTGTCAGCATCATAGCTTCCACTGACAGATGGGTGGTGGCTGCATGTAAGGTACACTGGCCTGAAATCAAACCCTGTCTCCTGCCTGGAACGTGAAGATTCTACCGCTGAACCACCACTGCCCCTAATATGTGTTTAGGGTCTACTGTTCTCATCCCCTCCAAATACTACAATGCTGCTTCTCTTCCAGCATTTCCTATTTCAGTATGGCACCAACATCTTCCAGTTACCCAAGCCAAAAACCTGGGAATCTTCCTTGATTTCTCCTTGGCTCCCCTACCCCCAAAATAATAACTCCAAGTGTTATACTCTCTTTAGAGTATCTCTTTCTCCAAATCACTGACTTCTTTCTACTCTCACTGCTATATAAACCAGTGTCCAAGCCCCGTTGTGTCTTGAGCTGGATTTCTGCTACAGCCTCCTAACCAGTATGCCGACTTCCCATTTGCTTGCCTCCAACTCTGTCCACCGTGCAGCCAGAGTAATCCTAAAAAGACTCAAATCATGTCACTCCCCAACTTAAAGCCATTAAGTAATTTCCCCTTTGACTTCAGGATAAACTTCAGACTCCTTAATATGGTTTAAAAAAGAATAGTCTGGCCCTGCCTACCTTTCCAACCACTTCTCTCACCTCTCTGGAGCTCTAAATCTATGCCCCAGACATTCTGAACATCTTCAGTTCCTCCCATGTGTTTGGTTTGCTGAATGCTTTCTTTCAATTCAGCATATTCTCCACCAGACAAGTTTATATTACGAAAATAGCTTTCTTTTACTATCAAAGACTGTAACATTGAATAAGCTTTTACAAGCCACGTTCTCTCGTATCCCTACCTTCTCCTCCCCTTTTGAGATTAATGATTTAGGTGGTTTGAAACAGAGACCTACAAAGGTATCAAGGCCAGCAGCCCACCCCCTCGCACCTCATCACTAGGTGCCCACACAGCAGGAAGAGAACCCAAACCAAACCCCTTGCCGTTGAGTCGATTCCAACTTATAGCGACCCCATAGGACAGAGTAGAACCGCCCCATAGGGTTTCCAAGGAGTGGCTGGTGGATTCGAACTGCCGACCTTTTGGTTAGCAGCCAACCTCTTAACCACTGTGCCACCAGGGCTCCTCAGGAAGAGTAGGAGGGGCTTAAGTAGCATCTTGCTCTAGAGTCCAGCCATTTTTTAGAACCAAGACTGACCCCTGGAACCAGCTCCTCCCTCAAAGGATAAGAGGAAGAATTGGCAGGTT